TTGCTGACCGACTTGCCAGCTTTTCGGCGGATGGTGAAGGTGATCAGCTCGTGGTCGCTGTCACCCAGCTTCCCATCGATCACTAGGTCGCCGACTAGGTCATCCCCAGTAGCCAGTACCAGGTCGAGCAGCGCTTTGCCTCTCGTTGGCCCATAGACTTCTTGAGTCAGGTAGAGGTCATCCACGCACGAGAGGAAGCTCTGCGACCGCTCAGATTTTGCTGAGCGATCCTCCCACGAGATGTCTGGGTAATTGAAGTCACCCATGACAACCATGGTTCTGGAGCAAGCTGCCTCAGCCAGTTCCTGGTCAAACTCCTGGTCAAGCTCAGGACTTTGGGTGGGAGATCTGTAATAGACTCCCACCATTGTGTCCCCAGTGCCGTGTTCCCCACGGATTTTAACCCAGAGGGTCTCCAGCCGTCCACCCTGGTTGCCCCTGGTTGTAGTTAAAGTTAATATAATTAGTTACTTCTAACCCCTCCCTCCCCCCTGTGGATAATATTTGTAAAATCTGCATGGGAATTGGAGTACTTTAATATGTAAATTTAAGTTATTTCTCCTGAAGAGTCAAGTTTGCTTTTTAGGCAGTCCTTTATAAAGCAGGCTTGATTGGTGGGGGTTACTTGGTTTTGGGTAATACTATTTAAAGTGAAGTCAGAATTGGCTTTCAGAGTCTGATGAATAAAAGTCCACAGTATAAGACTGCAGCTTTTTGTGAGACACATCTGTGCTATAACAAGAAGAAGACCCAATTTAGACAAATGCTGGAATCAGTGCTTAATAAAAGGAATGGCCTTTTTTAGCTCAGATAAAATATTTGTACAAATAAACTTTTCTTTTTGGTTGCTCATCAGAATTGCTGCTGCACCACCAACTTGGCTTTAAATTTTGCTCTGATTGCTGTGCATGCATGTGTTATGGAAGAATAGCTTAAACAAAACACGTTTGTTTCGCGGGAGACCCTAGAGGCTTTGGGTTTTAGGAATGAAAATTTAGGGTTTGGGGACAGTAAGTAGTACACAAAACAGGGAGAGTATGGAAGAGGAAAGATGAAAGTAGAAATAGAGCTGAGTTGAGAAATATATGAAGGGAGAAAATGCACAAAAATTAGTGGAGCCCTATTTCGGGAAAACATGTTTAAAGAAGCCATTTTGGCATATGCACACACACAAACAGCTGCTAATCTTTTTATTATTATTATTATTTGTCCTCTCTCCCCCTCTCTCTCCATACAATCTGGTTTGATAATTTAATCTTACAGCATTGATAATACTTAACACCTTGTTGTTCAAGATGAAAGCATCTAAGAAAACTGAAGCTTGAAATAAATAAGTAAAAGATGACAGTGCTGTGATGACTGACCCACCCAACAAGATTGTTTGTGTGTTTGTTTTTGTTTGCCTGCTTTTTAAAGTTAGGTATGCTTCCGGTCTTTTGAAGGAACTTACAAAAAATCTATCTGTTTAAGGAACTTGGGTCATGATGTTTCTCAAAGGAATTGCTTTAACAGTGTCAGTTGTGGTTTGAACATTGTCACTCCTTGTGGCAGCATGGAGTATACATCCTTGTATACATTATAACATCCAAACATTTGTTTTCCATATTCCCCTGGTAAAGGTAGAAAATACTGGAGGATTTTATTAAGCAAAGTCTTTTAGCACTTTGGGAATTTTGTCTGTCCTTTTACAAGAGTGGCAAAAATTTCAACAAAACCTTCTCACTCTAAAATGTTGCTGTTTTGGATCTGAGCTTTGAGTTGGCTGACCAGGGTGAATGAAAATATATCTATCACATGATTAACTCCAGAAAAGTTAGCTTTATTTTATGATGCTATCTGTTCTTGACATTGGAGTAATGTTGACATACAGAGGAACAACAATTGGCTTATCAGACTAATGGATATGCAGAAATCGTTTTATCAGCCATTTAGGGCAGGGGGCTATGTTAATTGATTTAATTTTTATTTTCCTTTTAGGTACAGCTTCTAGTAGCATGGGACCATGGTCCCAGTGGGGGGCCCTGCATATTTCATTTATTTCTGTTAAGGCAAAGTGAATTGCCTGTGGGCCTCTGACCCAGGATGGTGACTGTCTGGTTTTGAAGTACAAGGTCTGGTCATTGCAAAACATTTAAAACCCTATTTAGTGTAAAGGCAGGGGCTTTGGTCTTCCATATAAATATCTGATAATTTTTTTCTAGTCATCTGATACCATTTATCTCAGTAATACTAAATACTAGTAAGTTTAATGGTTAACATTTTTAAAGCAGAATCAATTTTAATTTTTTTAATTTAAAAAACATTTCAGAGAAGTCTCCAATTTCTATTGCATGAAAGGGAGTTCATTAACTATATACAGACTAAACTACTTTCTAGGTATTCAAAAAGAAAATGGAATATTGTCAGTTTACTGAATAAAACAGTAGTTACCGGATTTTTTTAATGGTTTGTACATGAAATGGTTAGGGAAAATCCTGTAGCTACAGGTACTGCTAATATGACTTCAGACTCTGAACAGTGTCTAGGTACTTAAGTACATGTCCTGAAATGTTTCATCTGAATGGTGTGCATCTATTTTCAGTGTTAATAAAAGGAGGAGGAAAGTTTTTCAATAATATTGTTGCAAGTTGCATGACCTTTAAAGCATTTAAACTTTAGTTCAGTTAAAAATGTGTGTTACGTTATACTAAACTTTTACAGTACATCAGTAAATGTTCATTTTGGAACGCTTGCTATTTCTTATGGAAATGGACCATATTTGAAAAACTACTTTTGTTTATTTTATTTTAAAATCTTGTCTTGTTCTTGTTGGAGAGAGATGAGAATGCTGAGCTATGCACTTAAGATACAGGTGCATCTTTCTCTTTGTGCCATATCATTTCCCCTCCCCTCATCATGCTTACATCACCTCTCTGTTTAGAGAGTCAGTGTTATACTCTAAATGCTTTTACAAGTGAAGGTATAGAGAAAAAAGTGTGCGCGAGACCTAACAGTTTGTAGTTTTTATTTGTTGTGGATCAGTCTGAATTATAAACTACTTGCAGTAACTTGAGCATTACTTTAATACCTTAGCAGAATTTATGAGTTGAGATAAAATATAGTGAGCCATAATAGATAAATTTTGTTTTCCATACCTATTTTTACTGCATTGTTTTTCCCATGATTCAACAACTTTCTAATGAGAGGGAAATTTTAAATATAAAATAATTTGATTTTAGGGAAATTTTTAAACACAATTTTGGTATGGGGATAAGAGGAATAACATCTTCATCTTTTCAGATGTATTTTTGAAACTGGTTCTGGCAGGGTTTTTTATTTTATCATTTTCTTTCTCTAGTCTAAAATTCTGAGCCTCTTTCATCTGCCCCTTTTATGGCTAGAGAGAAAGTACTTGTTCCAGATAAAACGTTTTGTTTTATTTGTTCGGATTTCTAGTTAGTTTCTAATGTGAGTAAGCTGCCTCACCTCCATCTCCTTTTCATATCTCCTTCTCTCCTAACTCCTCAACCAAAAGATATGGCAACTTTTATTTCTACATGGTTGTCGAGCCCTTGTTACTTCTAAATCACCCAGGGCTTTTCTCCATGAAGAAATTGGTCAGAATACCTACTGTGAAATAGCTAAATCTAAAGTAGCTATTCTGGTTCATTTCCTCATGTAGAAAAACCCACAGTAATAATGAAGTATGACATTTTGAATGCTGGTATTGAAGTAGGATGCGTTGGAAAAGGGAAGAGTACAAGTCTTCTAAAAATAGTGCTGGTCCATAAGCCCAAACAAGTTGGATAACTTTATTCAGTGTGCTGTCTGCTAAAAGTGTGTGTGTGTGTGTGTGTGCACACGCACGTGCATGTGTGTGTACACGCATGTGCCTCTCCTGAAGAAATGTTTCAGAGTTGTTGGTAGTAGCTATGTTGGTCTAAGGACAATAGGCATAGACATACCCGAAGAACCTTGCCTGAAGAAAAGTTGAAATTGAAATCTGTAATTTCTTTTTCCTTTGATAGGTGCTGGATAGTTTGTTAGCTCAGTATGGAACAGTGGAGAACTGTGAGCAAGGTATGTATTTAACTCTAAACTCCTATTGCTTTTGCATTCATAGGAGGAAGCCAGTGGAAAGTGAACCTAATTTTTTTTCTGTTGCACTTTTCCCTCTAGTGAACACTGACACAGAGACTGCGGTTGTAAATGTAACATATGCCAATAAGGACCAGGCTAGACAGTAAGTATCTTTTTATGTTCGCTTTTGTTTTTACAGTTTAATATTTAAATCAGCCTATCGCAATCATTTATATTGTAGGGTAGCCTACGATATACTTCAGTTAACTGTCAGTTGCACGTCAGCTTTCTTCCTCCATCTTTTATCAGTGTCGATGCATAGGGGGTGCACCCCCTGACAGGCAGTGTTCCTTGCTTAGGCGATGGGCAGGGGGGGGTAGGTGGGAGTGCTGGTGCTGTTCTCCCCCCCCCCCCCCCCCCCCCCCAAGGTGGGTCGGCTGGGGAATGGGGGCTCTAGGAGAAACGCCACTGGCACTTCCAGGTTGGTGCAATTGGCCACAGAGGGGCGCACCTCAGTCACTGACTGGTTGCTGTCCCCCTGACTCAGGAAGCACCAGTCGCCTGTCTTTTATTATTGTTTTTGAAATAAAAAACCTGAATTTAGAATTGTTTTGATTGTTTACCATAAATTTGTATTGGAGACTAAAACCTTTTGAGCTTTGAGAAGAACTCTTGTCTTCCATCAGTGGCAATTGCCTTTGAAACAGGTGAAACTATGACCAACTTTTAGGGAGCAAAATCAGGGAGGCAGCTCCATGTACTCGGCAGACCTTCAAAATAGAAAGCTGTTTTCACCACTTCTGGTTTTGCTTATTTTGGCTGGCGGACTGGTCTGCTGCACACAGGACAA